TGTCTGGGCCCCCCCGCCAGTCCTTCCTCCCTCCCCTCCCATACCTGCGACGGTCCCCGGATGTGGGCCCCGGGAGGGGACAGGCAGCTCCCCAGAGGCCGCTATGCACCTGCGCGTCGGAGGCGGGCCTGCAGGGACTTACCTGCCGGAGGTGTTTCCCTTTTCTAAGAATCATGACTAATGCCGTGTTTATTGTAGGGAGGATAGAAACAAAGATAAACTGTAAGGACCTTGTTAAAAATCCCATAATCTTTACACTGTTTAAGAATTCCCTAGTTAAAAATTGCGTATATTTGTGGTTTCGGAGTACAAGATTTAAATCCTGATCCAACATTCATCAAGAAGTTTTCCACTTCCTTTAGACTTTTATTTGTGTGTGTGTGTGTGTGTGTGTGTGTGTGTGTGTGTGTGTGTGTGTGGGTGTGTGGGTGTGTGGGGGTTAGGCAATTTGTGGGAGTCAGTTCTCCCACCACGACGGTGCTGGGGCTCAAAATGAGGAGGTCATGGGCCTTTATCTCCCCGTTGTCTTTATCCTTTAAGAACTGTGCTGAAACTGTGACCGAACAATTTGTAGAGAGAAGGACATGGAGTTTGATCTTAGTTGTTATTACTGCAGAGTTGGCCGTGACTTCTGACTTATTTCTAAAATGGTGTCTGCAAGTGGAGACGATTGATCAAGGCACTCTGCGAAGAATCTCTCTTCCTTCCGTTTCTTTCTTCCTCAATTTTTAAGTTAAATATAGTTTAGTTTTGCTTCCTGGGAAGAATTTCATTCTCTACTAGCAGAGGTGGCTTATATTCATTAGTTACACTTTAAGTTCAATCAATTTATATTTTTTCTGACTTCAGCCTGGGGCCAAACTGTAGATGGAGGGCTGTGGTGTAGAGTGCTTGCTTGCCTAGCAAACCCTGGGCTTGATTCCCTCACACACCATAAGCCAGGTGTGTACCCATAACCCCCAGCACTTACAAAGGGGAAGCTGGAACATCAGCAGTTTAAGGCTATCTTAAACTGTATGGTTTAAGGCTATCTTAAACCGTATGGCGATGGGGGCCAGCCTGGGCTGTAGGAGACCCTGTTTAATGAAGATTGAATAGAAACCTATTGGGCCCCAAGGCAGGCATTTTTAAAGAAAACTGGGTAAGGGAGGCATAAGGGGGAGGGTCCATATTCCTCAGAATTGGAATTGTTGACTCTTTTTTGGGAAACGATAAAGGAACTAGTATACCAGGGTGTACTAGGAAAGGAGGAAGATACTGGAAAGTGAGGCTCCACTCAAGCCCAGCAGGAGGCCAGAGGGCAGTAGTGAGACTGGGCTGTAGAATTAGACTCTTCCAGAAATGTTGGGGGGGGGGTGAGAGAAGAAGGAAGGAAAAAAAATTTTTTTAAAAATGACTCACTGTGTTAAGTTACTCTGGAGTTCAATTCCCAGTACCCACAGGTAGAAGGGGAGGAGAATTGACTCCCCAAATTGGCCTCTGACTTCTGCATTTGAACTGTGGTATGTGTATACATAAAATATATAGATAAGTGGACAAAGTAATAGATAAAGGTTGGTTTTAAAAAAATGAAGCCTGGTAGCACAAAAGAAGGCTGATAAGATCTTTAGAGGGCTGTATTTAAAAAGCCTTGTTTCTAGCTGGGCTGCTGGTACAAGGCCCAAGCACTCAGGTTGAAGATCTGGCAGGCAGATCTCTGGTTAAAGAAGGCCTGGTCTACATAGAGAGTTTCCGGCTATCCAGTGCTACATAGTTAGACCCTGTTTCAAAAACAGACTGAACCAGCTGTAGTGGCCCATGACTGTGATCCCAGCCCTTAGAAGGCTGAAGCAGGAGGATTCTGAGCCTGGATTTTGTAGCAAGACCCTGCCTCAAAAATGAGATAATTAAAAATCAAACACAAATCCAGTGACAACAAAGTTGTCCGAGGGTAGTAACTGACACCTCTCATCCGGTACTCAGGAGGCCCAGGGTGAAGAATCTCTGGTTTGGTGCCTATGAAAAGGCTCAGTGAGTGAAGGTGCTGTGGATCACTGATCCCTGGACCCATGGGATGGGTGGAGAGAAAGAACTCTATATAGTTTATCCTCTGACCTCTATACATATACTACAGGGTGTCCCTGCTCCCAATAAGTTAATAAATGTAATACATTTAAAAAGAAAGAGAATCTTGGGCTTGACACCAACCTGGGCTATCTCAACAACAATGAAATACAGGCCAAGGGAATAGCTCATTGGGAGGCTAAGCTAGCATCAGTGGGGCCCCAGGCTCTATCCTTGGCACTGCCCCAAAGTATTCTTCCCTTCACAGTTTCCTTAATAAGTCTTTTTGGCTTTTCGAGACAGGGTTTCTCTGTGTAGCCCTGGCTGCCCTGGGACTTGTTCTGTAGACCAGGCTGGCCTCGAACTCACAGAGATCCTCCTGCCTCTGCCTCCAGAATGTTGGGATTAAAGGTGTGTGCCACTACCCTTACCACTACCTGGCTCCTTAATAAATCTTAATTTACTCTGTCCCCATCTCCTCCCGCCCCCAATAAACAACATATAGAAACTGGCAAGACACTGAAGTTCTTAAATTTATAGCTGAAAAGATTCGGGGCTACATATTTCATTTCTTTTCTTTTCTTTTCTTTTCTTTCTTTCTTTTTTTTTTTTTTTTTGGTTTTTTGAGACAGGGTTTCTCTGTAGCTTTGGAGCCTTTCCTGGCACTGGCTCTGGAGACCAGGCTGGCCTCGAACTCACAGAGATCTGACTGCCTCTGCCTCCTGAGCACTGGGATTAAAGGCGTGCACTGCCGCCAAGCCTGATGACCCAAGGGAACACTGCCCTGCTCCCCTTTCCCATTTATTTTTTATTTATTTTGTTATTTTTGAGTCAGGGTCTCCCTACACAGCCCTGGCTGTCCTGGAACTCACTCCGTAGACCAGGCTGGCTTTGAACTCACTGAGACCCACCTACCTCTGCCTCCAGAGTTCTCGGATTCAAAGAACACACCACCAGGCCCTGGTACATTTGTTTATTTTTTGAGGGGGTGGTTTCATGTGTGTGGCAAGGCACATGTATGTGGAGGGAGGTCCGAGGACAATTTGAGGGAGTCTGTTCTTCGCCATGTGGGTCTAGAGGTTTGATCTTGGGTCATCAGGCTTGGCGGCAGGCACCTTTAACAGTTGAGCCGTTTCATCTCACCAGCCCCAGGTCCACCTCTTCCTCTTCCTCCTCTTATTCATCTCTTTGTTTTGAGACAGGGTCTCTCAATTAGCCCTGGCTATCCTGGAACTCACTCTGTAGACCAGGCTGGCTTTGAACTTACTGAGATCCACCTGCCTCTCCCTCCAGAGTGCTGGGATTAGAGGTGTGCGCCAGCATGCCTGGCCCAGGACCACTTCTTAAAGGCATGACTGACTAGATGACTTGACAGTTGTAGCTAACACTGTAAACTAAATTTTTACATTTTTCTAGCCTGTGTCTGTGAAAACTACAAGCTGGGGACAAGTTGCTCTCTGAATGACAGAGGCGAATGCCAGTGTACTTCCCTTGGTACATCGAATACTGTGGTGTGCTCCAAACGTGAGTAAAAGATTCTTATTGCCTGCTAGTTTGATCTTGATAACATAATACTTTTTAAATCTAGGCCCTTTGAGTTGAGTTCTATCGGCTCTCATCCAACTGTGTTATTTTATGGAAATGATCTGACTCAAGGTTCTTATCTCTACTAAGCAATTTGAGTGTGGGAAAATGGAAGGGATCGTGAAATAATCTTTGGCCTGGGATTACGACCTTAAATTAAAAAAAAAGTTTTCCTAGATTGCACATGGAAACTGTAGCTGTTTTGCAGTTTGCTGTTACATTTTCTTTTCAGTGGCATCCAAATGTTTGGTGATGAAGGCGGAACTGACTTACAGCAACAAGTCTGGGAGGAGGCTGAAACCCGAGGGGGCCATACAGAACAACGATGGCATGTACAACCCTGAATGTGACGAGCTGGGCCTCTTCAAAGCCAAGCAGTGCAATGGCACCGCCACCTGCTGGTGTGTGAACACTGCCGGTGTCCGGAGAACCGACAAAGACACGGAAATAACCTGCTCCGAGCGAGTGAGGACCTAGTGAGTGTTTTTTTCTTGTTGCTGCTTTCATACTGTTCCCATTTGCTTAATTAAATCAAGGTTTGAATATGAAATAACATTTTGCGGTTTGGAGTCCAAAAGCCAAGAAAAGGTGGGCGTGGCCGTGCACACCTGTAAATCCTGTGCTCTGGAGGTAGGCGCAGGAGGATGAGGAGTTCAGGGCTAGCCTTGTCTACACAGTGAGTTTGCGACTAATGAGATTCCCTGGGCTACTTGAGATCTTCTCAAACAAAAACGAGAGAGACAGAGAGGGAAAGGGTATGGAGTGGTAAATGTGTCCATCCTGCCTCGTTCCTCATAAAACTGGTGTCACCAGTTTTGAGTTGAGTTTTATTGGCCCTACTCCAGTTGTGTTAGTTTTATTGGCTCTAGTCCAGCTGTGTTTATTTTATGGAAATTATCTGACTGCTGAAGCCTATCTTTGGCAAATAATTGTGAGAAAATGGAAGGAAGCATGAAATAACCTTTGGCCTGATTATGACTTTAGTTTCGTTTTCCCTTATGCACACATGAAATAGTAGTTATTTTTCTATTTGACGTTACCTTTCCAGAACTGGTTTATGAATTCCCAGTGAAGATAGGTGGCTCTTAGGTTTTACAGAGGTTGTAGTGTACTGCCATCATTTTCCTTTTAACCTCTGTCCTGAATTTTGAAGTTGGATTAGCATTAAGTGATTTAAACTGCATTTTCTCATTATTGTTTTTTTTTTTTTTTTTGTGGCATGTACTTTTTTTTTTTTTTAAAGATTTTTATTTATTTATTATGTACACAGTCTTCTGCCTGCACTCCAGCAGTGGGCAACAGACCTCATTCAAGGTGGCTGTGAGCCACCATGTGGTTGCCGGGAATTGAACTTAGGACCTCTGGTAGAACAGTCAGTGCTCTTAACCGCTGAGCCATCTCTCCGGCCCTTATTATTGTGTTTTTTAAAATGAGCTATTTGGGCTGAAGATACAAGTGGTAGAAAATCTGGGGGTCGGTTGCTAGCCAGCATGGTGGAGGGGATTGGAGAGAGATTCATGAAAATCCACTCAAGCTTCGATTAATCAAAAAAGACTATTGGAAGGGACAAGAAACTGGAAAGACGTCAGGCCAAAGCCTGCAGTTGGTTACCTTTCACGTTTGGAGCCTTGCAGTCAATTGTTTCTCTGTGTGTTTCTGTGCTCCCCGCCCCCCCCCCCAAAAAAAAATCTCTTTCTGACATGGTTTCATGTTAGAATCTTGGCTTGCCTCAAATCCAGGCCATCTCCTGCCTCTGCCTTCACAGTGCAGGTTTACACCACCATGCCCATCCTCCACAGTTCCACAGTGCAGGTTTACACCACAGTGCCCGTCCTCCACAGTTCTATAGTGCCAGCTTGTACCACCATGCCTGTCTGTTTTGTCTGTTCTCTGGAACAGGGCCCAGCATGACCAGACCAACTTTGACTTCAATTCACCTCTCAAGTTGTAATTGTCACCATCCGGTCAATGTTAGACAGGGTGTTAATTCTGGGTGGGTTCTCTGTGAAGGATGTGTGAAACATGTTTACCACAACACTCTATTTGTTCTGTTAGCATTAATTCTATTTTAGCGTTAATTCTATTTTGGGATTTACCTCTTTGGAAAAAAGCCAGAAAGACTGAGTTACACACAGCCATCTTGTCTTACAGCTGGATCATCATCGAAATAAAACACAAAGAAAGAGAAAGCCCTTACAACCTTCAGAATTTGAAGACGTAAGTGTTATATATACACTAGTGTATCAATGCACCTTGACAGTAATTACATGTACTCTAGTGTATTTATGTACTTTGGTAGTAATTACATACATGCTATTATATTGTGCACCTTGACAGGAAAACTATGTAAGTGATTCTGTGTCTTTCTCAGTACTCATCAGGAAATCATGAGCTTCTCTGTCTCTTTACGAACCATGTCTGCCAGGTTTCTCCATTGTAGAGTTACCATTTTCCCCTTTGGAATTTAAGAGTAATCTGTTGGCAGATTCATATGGGTACTGTGTTGTGTAAAGGTTCCGTTTCTAATCGAACTGACACTCAACAGCTCTAGGATCACTGACTGGTGCTGGTTTAAACCACTTACTGTTATGATAATTGCAAGTGACATTAAAATTATACAGCCTAGCCATTGTTGCATACCTGTAATCCCAGAGGCAGGGACAGTGAGTTTTTTTGAGTTTGAAGCCAGCCTGGTATATGTAGAAAGTTCCAAGTCAGCCAGGGAAACATAGTGAGACCCTCTCTTTAAAAAAAAAAAAAAAAAAAACAGTCCTTGAGCTGTCTGCCTAAAATGTAGAGATTCTATTATTGTGTGTTACATACAAACAAAACTTTTAAATTATTTGCAGTGCACTTGAGGAGGTGTTCATGTCTCGATACAAACTGAATCAGAAATTTATCAAAAATATTCTGGTAAGTTTTTTTTTGTGTGTTTGTTTTTCGTTCTGTTTCTAGGTGAATTAGCTATCTTTGGTAGCAAGTTGGTAGGATGGTATGGTTTACGTATAAATGAAAGCAGTGCCGGGCATAGGTGGTGCATCCATGTCCCAGTCTATGGCATGATTCAGCCAAGTCTGTCAGTCTTACCAACTCAATTCACATAAAAAAGATCATCTCCACAGATTAGCCTGTAGATCAACTCAATCTAGACCGTCCCTCATTAAGAGTATCTTCTTGAGCTGGAGAGATGAGTCATCAGCTAAGAGCACTGGCTGCTCTTCCCGAGGTCCCGAGTTCAGTTCCCACATGTTGGCTCACAACCATGTGGAATGAGATCTGGTGCCCTCTTCTGGCCTGCAGGCATATATACATATATACATAATAAATTAATCTTAAAAAAAAAAAACTTCACAGGCAGAACACTGTATACATTATAAATTAAATCTTTTTAAGAAAATGTGACTCTAGATTGTTTATTCTAGTTGACACTTGACAGCCAACCATCCTACCCAGTTAGCCTTTTCCTTAACTCCTTTTTAGAAAGATTTATTTATTATGTATACAGTATCTTGCCTGAATTATGTGTGCATACTAGGAGAGGGCACCAGATCTCATTACAGATGGTTGTGAGTCACCATGTGGTTGCTGGGAATTGAACTCAGGACCTCTGGAAGAGCAGCCAGTGCTCTTAACCTCTGAACCATCTCTCCAGCCCCCAGTTTAACTCTTTTTTAAAAAATTGTTTGTATTGCTATTTTATTCTCTTAGATAGATTGGAAGACCTCTCAAAGATGCTTTTTTTTTTTTCAATCACAAATGATAAATTTAATTATTCATCAATGGAAAGAGCTCTTGGTGGATGTAGATTATGAAAGATCAAATTCTAAATATTCTGACTATTGACCAAAATTTTCATATACTTTAATTACTCAATTTGTATTTTTCACCTTTCCCCCCCAGTATGAGAACAATGTTATCACTATTGATCTGATGCAAAACTCTTCTCAGAAAACTCAAGATGATGTGGACATAGCTGATGTGGCTTACTATTTTGAAAAAGATGTAAGTATAAACCTCATTTTTAAAGCTTAGTTTTTTTTTTGTTGTTTGTTTTTAAAGACAGGATCTCTCTTTATATAGTCCTGGCTGTCCTGAAACTCAAGATATTTATGGCTATCCTTGTAGTCACAGAGACTTGCTTCTGCCTCCAAGTGCTGGGTGCCTTAAAGGCATATGCCACCATGCCGGTGTTTGTTCCTTTTTGAGATAGTCTGTCATACAATCTAGGCTGGCCTCGAGCTCTCTGTGTAGCTGACCTTGGACTTCTGATCCTCCTGCTTCCATCTCTAGTCAAGAAAAAAAGAAGTAGCCACTCAGGAAAGGAGGTGATATGAAATTATCCTTCCAAATATGAGCTTTACAAGAAGGGGCTATGCAGTCATGAGGGCTGTGGTTGGGCTATGAGGTCGGAGAGCATTATGAGGGATGATGCAGTCATTCTGGAAGCCATGGGGTAGGAGAAGATAATATATATACTTTGTAAAAATGTTAGGTGTAGGCCGGGCGTTGGTGGTGAATGCCTTTAGTCCCAGCACTCGGGAGGCAGAGGCAGGTGGATCTCTGTGAGTTCGAGGCCAGCCTGGTCTACAGAGTGAGTTCCGGGACAGCCTCCAAAGATACAAAGAAACCCTGTCTCCAAAAACCACCACCAACAACAACAAAAATTAGGTGTAAAGTGGGGTTGGAGAGATGGCTTAGCACTTAAGAGCATGTACTGTTCTTTCCAGAGGACCTGTGTTTGATCCCCAGCAATAACATCAGGCAACTACCAACTGAAATTAAATTAAGAATAATAAAAATCAATCTAAATCTGAGTAAAAATAATAGAGATATCCATCATGGATGGCATGGCATGGGAAGCAGGCCAACTCAAGAGCCAGAGAGAACCCTTTTATAACTTTCCTAGGGACTGAGGAGCCTGGCCAGAGCTCAGAGCCAGTTTGGGAGGGTGTCCAGGCATCAGAGTTATGTTGTTAGGAGCAGCGGAGATTAGGAAGCTCAGTTTCTGTTGGCTGGGCATATAGAAACCAAAGGTGGTGGGAAATACATGTCTGATATCTTAGGGGGAGGAGGGCCAGCTAGGGGTCTGTGATGTAACAGTCCCAAGTGCTAGATTACAAGTATGGGCCACTGTGACTAGTTTTTGTCATTTTGGGGACTGAACCCTGGACGCTGTGTGTACTAGGTAAGCATTCTGTCAGTCCCTAACCCCCCTGACTCTTCTGTTTTCATCTTGGCTGTGTTAGGAATTGAACCCGTATGTAATCTACTACTAAGATATGTATACATAGCCTTCTAATTCTTGTTTTCTCTTTGGTTAGTTACTATATTGGTATATATAGTCTCCACCTATTAGTCTAATAATTTCTAAGACTAATCTCCATTTTAAAGCCTAGTGTTTAAATTCTGTGTGTCTGTGTGTGTCTGTGTGAATGTTGGTGCAGGTGCCTTCGAAGACCAGAGGCCAACTGGACCCCAGGGACCTGGATTACACTTCTGTTACGAGCTGCCTGTTGTGGGTGCTAGGAACCGAACTCAGGCCCTCTTAAATGCTCTTAATTGCCGAGATGTCCATCCAGTCTCCATTTTAAAAACCTTTATGTAAAAGCCAGACGTTAACAGTGTACACTATATCCCCAAACCTGGAGTCCTAGCACTCTGGATTCTGAGGCAGGAGGACTAAGTTTAAGGCCAATTTCTTATAAACATATGGTTTTGTTCTTTGTTGTTTCTTTCTTGTTATTACTTCTTTTTTCTTTGACAGAATCTTATAGTAGCCCAGATTGACCTAGAATTCATGGTGGAGGGTAGACACCCTGCTTCAGCCTTCTAAGACTTAGGGTTACAAATGCAAGCCATAGTACCTGGCTAAACTTGTGCTCATCTTGTTTATTTATTTATTATATATGCAGCGTTCTGCCTGCATGTATCCCTGCAGGCCAGAAGAGGGCACCAGATCTCATTACAGATGGTTGTGAGCCAACATGTGGTTGCTGGGAATTGAACTCAGGACCTCTGGAAAAGCAGCCAGTGCTCCTAAGGACTGAGCCATCTCTCCATCCCTTAAACTTGTGTGTACTATACTGAGATATTTCTTTGGAGATTTACTTTAGAACATTTTAGGCATGGGAGATGACGGGATAGAAGAAAGAATGATGAAACTAAATTGGCCACGTGTTGATGTTTTCTGATCTGGAGGGTGGGAACATGGGCTTTGTTTCTATTTCCGTGTATGGCATTTTCCTGTAAGAAACAGTGCCTTAATGTTCCACTGGATCAGGTGGTTATCATTAAAACTGATAAAATTCTTGGCAGCTTTTCTCCTGGTATATACAATTGGTAACCATGGCTGATTCCCTTAAATGATTTTCATTGTTTTTTTTTCCGTTGTAGGTGAAAGGGGAATCCTTGTTCCATCATTCTAAGAAAATGGACCTGAGAGTAAATGGAGAACAACTTGATCTGGACCCTGGCCAGACCCTGATTTACTATGTTGATGAAAAAGCCCCGGAGTTCTCAATGCAGGGACTCAAAGCCGGCATCATTGCTGTTATTGTGGTAGTGGTGTTAGCAATCATCGCGGGGGTAGTTGTGCTGGTAGGTACAGAACGAGTCAGGGCTCTGAAGGATGTGTTCTTAAAGTTGATCACTAAGAACTATATCCATGTTTGCTAGTTGGTGGTGGCACACACCTTTAATCCCAGCACTCTGGAGGCAGAGGTAGGTGGATCTTTGCATCTGAAGCAGTCTATAGAGGGAGTTCCATCTCAAAGAAAACAAAGAAACAAACAAAGGACTATCCATGTTTGAAAACCTTAGTGAAGGACTCTATTGCACTTCTGCTTCCTTTTTTTCCAAAAATAGTCACCTTCTAAAGCTGGAAAGGAATAGTCATGGGAAAACCGCTTGCAGCTGAACACCTCACAGCCTGGTTCCATTGCCTTTGAGTAGAATAGCCTTGGGTTCTTTGCAAGGAATTCAGTGGTCCTTCCAGAACACAGTAGCATAGAGAACTCCCAAAATGTTCACTGAGCTGGGCAACACATCACTTGTTTCCGTTTTTGGTGGGGATGGGAAGATGAGCACGGGTCGCAAGCATTCCAGGCTATAATGAGCTATGTCCGCCCCCCAAAAGCACAAAGCTTAAGTTAGCAAGAAAAGAATCAGAAGTAGTACATGTAGCAATGATTCTTCATAAATAGCAAATTTGCACTGGGTACAACGGCACATGCCTATAATCCCAGCATTGGGAAATTAAGGCTGGAGTATTAGGATCTAAAGAAGTGACCTTTATCCCAGGGCCTTAAGGGTGATTGGCATCCGGTGGTCTCATCAACATAACAGAATTCAGAAATAGATTTGATCAGAGTAAGATAATGTATTTCTGTATTCATGCCCTTGAGAACCCGAGGCAGGAGGATCAAGACTTTAAGGCCAGGGCCTGGAGACGTGGCTCAGTGATTAATAGCACTTGTTGCTCTCGGATATGACTTGGATTTGGTTCCCAGAGCCCACATGGGAGTTCACAACCATCTGTAACTCAGTCCCCAGGGATCTGACTGCTTCTGACCTTCTTAGGTATCAGGTGCTAGGCACCAGGCACACATGTACAGAAAATAAAAGAAAAGTCATGAGTCGGGGGAGCCATTAAGTTTGGCCAGAATTACATGGCTAGACCTTATCTTAAAAAGCTCACCACCCCCTTGTAAAGAAAAAGATAAGATCTGAAGGTGCATGGTTACTTGATTTTCAGTTCAGGATTGTTATCTCACTTGGTTCCCATCTGATTAAAAAAAGGAACACTGAATTCTGATTTTAGCCTATGGGGGCTGTCTGTGTTACCCTCAGGTATGGACAGGTACGTGAGGGCATGGGAACATAAAAAAAAGAGAAGGGCAATGAATGTACTTGTGTTCAAACATGAATTCAGATGGATTATTGGATAGAACGGACGAAGATAAGTTCAAAAGAAATTAGTATAAGGAATGTTGATATTTTACAGTCAGAGAAACCACGTAATGCAAGGAACTTAAAATCCATAAAGGGCTATATTAATACATAAATTCCGTTTTGTTTTTGTGGTACTGGGAATTAGATTTTAGGGCCTCATGTGGCAGACAAGCGCTGTCTCAGCATCCCCAACTGTCTTGGTTACTTTTCTATGGGTGTGACAAAACACTGTGACCAAGGGAAACTTATAAAAAGAAAGATTTTACTGGGGGCTCCTGCTCAGAGTTCTGGAGAGTTAACGTCCATGACCATCATGGTGGCGAGTGTGGTGGCAGGCAGGCTGGAGTAGTAGCTAAAAACTTACGTCTCATCTTCAATCCCAAGGCAGAGAGAGACAAGGGGTGGGGGCGGCTTAGGCTTTTGTACTGGCAGAACCCACTGACATACCTTCTTCAACAAGTCCACACCTGATAGATACTTCCTAACCAGACAGTTGGACCAACTTTGGACCAAGCATTCAAGTACATGAGCCTATGTATGGGGGTCATTCTCTTTTTTTTTTTTTTTTTTTTTTTTTTTTTTTTTTTTATTTTGGTTTTCTGAGACAGGGTTTCTCTGTGTGGCCCTGGAGCCTGTCCTGGCACTTACTCTGGAGACCAGCCTGGCCTCGAACTCACAGAGATCCGCCTGTCTCTGTCTCCCGAGTGCTGGGATTAAAGGCGTGTGCCACCAACGCCTTGCTACCCTTTTCTTTATTGAACTCTGTAGCCCAGGTTAATCTCAAATTCTCATCTTAAGCCTCAGCCTCCCAAGTACTGAAATTACACACCTGGCTTTTTCTGTCTGTCTGTCTGTGTGTGTGTGTATTTGTCTTCCCATCCCTTACCCCCATAGGAGTCTACATAAACTGGTATTGAATTCCTGGGTTCAACTGGTCATCCTATCACACTTTGCTGGGACTATAGGAATGTGTCTCTATGCCCAACAAAAATTGAACATTTTAACATTTTGGGCTGTGCTTAGTGGCTCATACCTGCAGTTCTGATCTTCAGGAGGCTGAGGTAGGAAGATTGAGAGTAAAGGTGGCTTAGGCATCTACCAAAAGAAAAACAAAATTCACATTTTCATGGCAAAGATATTATAAAATAAAAAAGTAGAAGTAGCTGGGCATGGTAGCACATGCCTTTAATCCCAGCACTCTGGAGGCAGAGGCAGGGGGATCTCTGTGAGTTCCAGGATATCTTAGTCTACATAGTGAGATCTGGGACAGCCAGGGCTGGCTACACAAAGAAACCCTGTCTTGAACCCCCCCCCAAAAACAAAACAAAACAAAAACCAAAGACTAACTTTATGGGGCTGGAGGGATGGCTCAGTAGTTAAAAACACTAGCTGGTCTTTCAGAGGTCCTGAGTTCAATTCCAGCACCTACATGGTGGCTCACAACCATCTGTAATGAGATCTGGTGCTCTCATCTGACCTGCAGACAGAACACTGCATACATAATAAATAAGTAAATCTTAAAAACAAAACAGTAATTCCCTCCCTTTAATTGAAGACTGGTAATAAGTAAGGGTAGATGGTTCCCAGAACAGGAGCTTCAGTTGGCAAATAAACACACGGAACAGACAGAAATCTAATTGTCACATGGAAACCGAAGTACAAGTTCAATAAAGTGTGGAGTGTGGAGGCACATATGCTTCCAATCCCTGCACATGGATGACACAGATCAGAGTTCAAGGCCAGCCTGGTCTCCACAGTGTGTTCCAGGACAGTCAGGGCTTCTTCATGAGACCCTCTTTCAGAAGAACCAACCTACCAACCAGAACCAAAGAAGGACATTCAGGGTATCCTTGTTACCTGTAATAATCTAGGAAGCCGTCTGAGTGTTCACTGTCTGGAGAATGGATGGGTAAATGCATATATATAGGGTATTTTATCTGTGTGCAGTTAAAAGCTTTTACTCCAGAAAGGTACTTACTTATGGTGTTGATATAGCTGTTCAAAGAACTGGTACTGCTTGACCAGTTTTTAGACCTCGCCCCAAATTTGTACACATGTGCTTACAAGGGTTCAAAGCACGTATGTTCATTTGGGCCATTTTTGTTTGAGTAATAGTTTCTAGAACTAACTTTTTTTTTCTCTCCAGGTTATGTCTACAAGGAAGAGATCAGCGAAGTATGAGAAGGCTGAGGTGAGTGGATACCGGGCTATGTTGAATGTCTTACTCCCGGAAATCACTGCCCCTTCCTAGACAATGACAAAGCACCCTTACACTGATGTCCTTCACACTGTCGTACCTAGTTCCGAGTCCCATGACAGGCCACTCCATACTCCTTTCTGCTTCTGAGAACAATGGTATAGAAACCTGTGGCTTTAGTGGAGGCATATTCTAGTTGAGCAGGGTAGGAGACACTCACTGTGATTGTTGATTGCCTTTGTCTCTACTGGTGTCTCTATCACTGAAGCTGGGCTTGCTGGTGTATGCCTTTAATCCTACCACTAGGGAGGCAGAGGTCAGCCTGGTCTACAGAATGAATTCCAGGACAACCAGGGCTACACAGAGAAGTGAGAGTCTCTCTCGAAAAACCTAAAAAAGAAGAAAAATCAGTTAAGGTGAACTTAAGTTAACCTAGTAAATCTGTTAGATGCTAACTAGTCACAGATGATGATGATGATGAAATTGTGTGGGGTGGACTGTTTACCAATTGTAATCTCAGTACATGGGAAGCTGAGCTAGGAATATTCACTGTGAGATGAAGCCAGGCATGAGTTTGTTGGCTGTGAGTTTGGGTCACAGAGTGACTTTTGGGTCAGGCAGAAGAACTATAAGATTTGGATTTGACCACTTATCAGATAATTAAGAGCCGGGGCTACTTTACTTCTCCATGCCTTCTTATCTGCAAAATGGAAAGTGCAAACCTGTCCCCAAGGGTTTAACAGAGGGCTCTGTCACGTGCTGGCTCTGCGATTATCTCATGTGAGATGTTTACCAAGGGTGGCGGTCAACTTCATTGTCCTTGTCAGCCTAGAACTAAGGCTTATGGTCTGGGAGGCCACTTAATTCTGTATTTAGTTTCTTTACTTGTAAAGATTGAATCAGGTATGGTGACTAACACTTGAAATCCCAGCATTCAGGAAGCTGAGGCAGGTGAATCACATTGAGTTGAAGGTGAGTTCCAGGAGTTCCAGGTCAGTCAGGGCCACCTAGTGAGACTTTGTCTTAAAACTTAAAAAAATTAAAAAAGAATGTGTGGTGGAGTCCTACACCTTTGATCTCAGAACTCGGGAGGCAGAGGCAGGTGGATCTCTATGAGTTGGAGGCCAGTATGGTCTATACAGAGTGAGTTCCAGGACAGATGGAGCTGTTACACAGAGAAGCCCTGTCTCCACGCCCCCACCCTAACGGGGTGGGCATGGAGGGGAATAGGGCCAGCAAGATGGCTCAGTGGGTAAGGAGCTTGCTTCTCAGCCCTGTTGACCTGAGTTTAATCACCAGAGTTCATGTGAAGGTGAAAGGAGAGAACCACCCCTGCAAGTCGTCCTCTGACTTCCACATGCAAGTCATGGCATGTGTGCCTGTGAGCACACACACAGAATAATAGTTTCAAAAACTAGTATTTACTGGGAGGCAGAGGCAGGAGGATTTCTGTGAGTTCCAGAGCAGCCTGGTCTACAATAGCTAGTTCCAAGACAGCCTCCAAAGCCATAGAGAAACCCTGTCTCGAAAAACAAACAACCCCCCCCAAACTAACATTTATTACTTATTTATTTAGAGACTTATTTATTTAGAGATATTTACATATCCCTGGCTGTCCTTGAACTCACTCTGTAGACCAGGCTGATTTCGAACTCATAGGGATCTGCCTACCTCTGCCTCCAGAGTCTGTGATTTTAGATGTTAGCCACCAGCCCATCTGAAGAAGTAACTTTAAAACCTCAAAAAAAAAAATTTTTTTTAAGCATGAAAGATTGATGCTAAATAATGAACTATAGAAGTTATATATTTAATTGAAAATCTTAATCTGTGAAAAAACAATCTAGCTTCATTGTGGCCATCTTGTTACAAATAGAAACCTAGCTGGGGACAGTGGGTCATACCTTTAATCCTAGCACTCAGGAGGCAGACAGATCTTTGTGAGTTTGAGACCAGCATAGTTTACAGAGTGAGTTCCAGGACAGCTAGAGCTGTTATACAGGGAAACCTTGTCTTCAAAAACCAAAACCAAACCAAAACAACCCCCCAAAAAAAAAACTTCTCTGAGTCCGGTGTGATGCACACACCTTAATCTCAGCACTCAGGAGGCAGAGGCAGGTAGATATCTGCGAGTTCCAGGACAGCCAGGGCTACACAGGGAAGCTCTGTCTTGAGAGAAAAAGCAAAGAAAAACCTTTTCTGAAGGAACAAAGACTTGAAAGTTACTTATATGTTCTTGTGTGTTCCTCCCTTCCTGTTGCAGATAAAGGAGATGGGTGAGATACACAGAGAACTCAATGCCTAACAACAGCTCTGCTTTTTGAGAATGGAACCACCAGAAGGGGGATTGGCAAAGGAACGCAGATTAAAAACGTATAAGTATGGGACAAGATGAAGACCTCAAAAGGGTTACTGTTTTGTTAACATCCTAAATTTTTAATTGTGAAAATTACTCACAAATATAAGCAGCTTGACACTGGCATTACCAATCTGTAAATTAGACAAATGTCTTATGTGTGCAGGTCTGGTGTGGAACTCAGAATTTAGCCTGCATAGTTAATAATTTATGCTGAATACTGAAGTGTGTATGTCACAAACATCCCACAGTAGAATACGGTGACTAGTCTCATTTTCTGATTTAAAGCTGCCTTTCTATATACCCAAGTCTTGTACATAAAACTTTTTTTTAATGAAATAAACATTTTTAAAATGAATTTTCTGAGTTTCCATATGCATATCTGAGATCATAAATTTTTAAGTGGTCTGGTACTGCCAAGTGGCACAAACCTGTAATTCTTGCTCCTGGGAGGCAGACACAAGGAGATTAGAGTTTGCAGGGTATCCTCTGCTACAGAGTTCCAGGCTACACAGTGAGGCCCTGACCATCAATAACATATTCCCAGAGATGAGGTATCAGGGAGGTTCAATGGTGGTATGTGCTTTTAGCATGTTGGAGGCTCTGAGTTCACTCTGCCTTATTAGAAAATATGCTACAGTTTTATTACAAGCTAGAGCTTTTTGTGAGTAGTTACACACAGGATGTATAACTACCTACATGTAGAACTTCACAGAAAAACAGCCTTGATGTGAACATGTGCACACAGAAAGTGGGCAGGGCTGCAGCGGTAATCATGTAATCACTGCTGACCCCTGCTGTGACGTGAGCAGCTGCCTCAGGTTCCTGCCACCATGAAGGACTTGAGCCAAAGTGGACCTTCTCCTCTATAAAAAGTTGCTTTGGCCAGGTGTTTTTGTTGTAGCAATGAGAAAAGTGACTGAAATTTGTGCTTTCCAATGGTTGGGGGGTGGGGGGTTGGTAATCAGGATAATGCTACTCAGTGTGTGAACATATGAAACACAAAGCTAAGAAGCTGTTGCTGGTTTCTTGTCCCGCCAGGTCCCGCTTTAGCCCCAAATGAACACACAGACGCTATGTTAGTTATTAAACTGTTGGTCGATGGCTAGGGCTTCTTACTGGCTAGCTCTTTCAATTATTAACCCATTTCTATTAATCTATGTATTTCCACATGGTCTTGACTTACCTGCCCAGACCTGTTACTCCTTTGGCAGCCCACATGGCATCCTCTCCACTGTGCCTCTCTGCCTACCTTTCCCAGAATTCTCCTCGTCTCCTAGTCCCGCCTATCTTCCTGCCTCTATGGCCAAACTGTTTTATTCATCAACCAATAAGAGAAACACATATACAGAAGGACATCCCCCATCACAAAGGTTTTTGGAACCACAGCTACAATGGTTCAGTTATGCTGTGTGACACAGCTTTAGAGGTAGTGGTACCTCAGCCTTTACAGGGAGTTTGTTGAATCCGCTGAAGTACTGGGAGAAAGCTATTCACAGGACGTGTCCCACTTTGAGTAACACAGGCATTCTTCAGACATGGTTGTACTTTGATCCCAGCTTGGGAAACCAGACATGTGGATCTCTGAGAGTTTGAGGCCAGCCTGGCCTACAAACTTGATTTCCAGGCAGGTCCATGAGAGAGCTATCTTTCTCCATAGACCCTTTGTAAAAATAAATAAATAAAAATAAATAAATAAATAAATAAATAAATAAATAAATAAATAAATGGCATTCCCTAAAATTGCAACAGCCGTTGGAGGCCCTTGGAGAAGCTGCTAGAGAAGTCACACATAGTGCAGGAGTGATGAAATCAGAAGTGGGGAACAACCCTTTCCCCTTGCTGGGTCTCCCTAGTGCCCTCTGCTGGCACAGCTTCATGTTCACTTCCACAGACCTGGCCAAAAGGGCGAATTTGGAACTGGTACTTTAACCCATTGCTTTTTATTCTGAAGCTACTAGTAAACATGTATATATGCATGGCCAGTACATCCTAAGGCCTACCATGGTCATATTTGCCCCATTCCCCACCCAGTATGCTATCTAGACATTATTTTCAGTGTCTCCTTGTTATTTTCCGCTCCTACCAATTCTGAAATACTGTTATGGTGGAAATTCCACCCAAGCCCTCCTTCTCTATCTCCCTCCAAACCTTGCTACGTCTCAGAAAGCCCGCCAAATGATGGCCCCTCCCCCAGAGATGCTCAAGACTACTCCCACAGGGTGTTTAAACTGCCTCCCAGAAAATAGACTCGTGGCTCTTCCAGGTCTCTTTCCCATATCCTCTCTGGGGGACTGGAAGGCCATCCGGGAGTGTTGTATCTATTAAACATGGGCTTTTTCTAATTCGGCTTGATTTGGCCTGTTTTGGATTGCTGCATCGACAGAGAGGCTTATCAGGGTGCAGAAACTTTTCACTAACATTTCCAGGATTTGTTTCTCCCATTTTGTTTCTCCTGCTGCAGGATTCTCCCATCCCCTTGCCTTTGTTGCCTGCCTTCTAAGCCTCGACAGCAGGTGAACAATCTCCATTTCTCACCTACATACTGAGTTCCAAACTGTTTCAGATGACTAACCTTCGGGAATCTCATTGCCTTCCTGTATGTGTTAGTCAGGTGCTCTACCACTGAGCTATATCCCTGGCCCGTTTCTTCTCAACCATTTAATGGCAAACGGGGTCTGGTGGCATAGACTAGTAGTACAATTTAGCCTTTAGGATACAGAAACAAGATTATCCCTATGAAGTTACAGCCCCTTTGGTGTACCCAGATGGCTGGCCCTCAGGAAATTGTATAGTAACAGAACAAAGTTATAAATCAAGGCACTTTCCCAATGTGTTGGTTAAGCATCAGGTTACAGTTAACGAAGGGGTGGTGGTGGGGGTACTCTTAAGAGACCTTAGATCTTATGTCATGCCATTTTTAGTCTGAGTTAGTAGAAGCTAAGGGGTCTTTACATTTTACAAAGACTTTACCTGATAGTCACAAGGCTATTAAGGTAAACACAGAGGTGGGCATTAAACAGCTCTTATGGGGACTAAAGTTAGCCCAAGATAATTTGAATCCGGACTTGAAACATTTCAGCTCTCCACAATCACTTATGTCTTAGTCGGCTAATTAGCCCTGTGGAATATTTGTAACACTGCAGGGTTTTTTGTTTTGTTTTGTTTTCTCTAAGTGCTAATTTACAGTCTAATGTAGCTCAGACTGGCCTCCAACGGTGTATCCAAGGATGACACTGAGCTGAACTTCTCACCAGCCCCACCCTGCTCCCACCTCCTAAGAGCTGCGGTTTCAGGTATGCGCCACCTGCTTGTTTTCAAACTAGATTTTTTTCTTTAAATTAAAAAAAAAGTTTAAAAAATTATTGTGTGTGTGCTTGTCAGTGTGAGTACCTCCCCTGCATGGGTGCAGTCAACTGTAAAAACACTATGAGGGTAAGAAACCGCTGAGCAATCTCTCCAGTCCCCAAAGTATACATATATATATTTTTTTTTCTGGTTTTTCGAGACAGGGTTTCTCTGAGTAGCTTTGGAGCCTATCCTGGCACTCGCTCTGGAGACCAGGCTGACCTTGAACTCACAGAGATCCGCCTGCCTCTGCCCCCCTGAGTGCTGGGATCAAAGGCGTGCGCCACCTCACCTGGCTTCCAAAGTGTCTTGAATATATCAAAGAATGGATGAAGTGAGGAAAAGAGTGAGTGGGAGGCTGTGGAGAATAACTGAAACCTTAGAGCAGGCAGGTTGCTTAAAAGGGGACCATCGGTCACACATTTAAGACTGGCTAGAGGAAGTGGGGTAGTTGCCGTTTGCTTACAAGTTCTGTGTGTTTCCCTCCCACGTTTCCGGTCACTCGATGGCCCCGCCCACCCGAGTCACCCACCCACCTGGGCACCACGCTGTGCTCCCTGAAAGCGTAGCCGCCGGAGGAGGTGTTTTAAGGATGCTCGCCAGCAGGTCGGCGGACCCCAAGTCTAGCGAGCATGCGCAGTAGCTACAGTCCGAGAGAACGCGGGAAGCCGGGGCCTCGTTTGCTTCTGATTGGTTACCACAGTAAGAGTCCCGCCCACCGCGCGCAACGCTGCGTGCTGATTGGGCGATCCCACCGCGGCCGTCCGCGGCCTAGCGGCGAGGGGGGTGGTGGTGGCGGGAATCGACCCAGCGGGCGCAGGGTTGCGCTGTCTCCTCCGGGCTTGTGTGGAGCGGTACGGAAATGGCGGTGCAGCCTAAGGAGACGCTGCAGTTGGAGAGCGCGGCCGAGGCGGCTTTCGTGCGCTTCTTTGAGGGCATGCCGGAGAAGCCGAGCACCACGGTGCGCCTCTTCGACCGCGGCGACTTCTACACGGCGCACGGCGAGGACGCGCTGCTGGCGGCCCGC